GCAGCCAATCATGTGAGAACAAAGGAAACCAATATCACAACGATTACAGACAGCCCGTTTACATTTCTCACCTGAGAATCGAAATACTGAAAAATGTCTCAGGTCTATTAGACCGGTTCCCTTTTTTAGCCCATTTATGCACATGCTCGCAGCTCATTCAATGACCCTATTGAACGGCGTCAGTCAAGTGACCGATTTTAACCGTAATGGCGTTCTAAACGGCACGATCATGCAAGTACACTGAAGCAATCGCGACAAACCTTCAACCTTTGTTTCCAGGTCATTTGCAACAGCTGAAGCAGTTCCACCGGCTGTCCGAGTTCGGTGACAATCGCCAGCCACTTAAGGCCGTCATCGAAGGAAGACGGGTATCGCGGGATACAGTAGCCGAGCATCTAAAAGACACCAGTAGAAGACGAACGATGAAGACGTCAAGCACCGCCGCACGCCCAGCACAAAATGAACATCAACACTAGCAACAACGCGGGGCCCTTTGTCTCCGGACGATTTATTGGAGACGGCCGTAACGCAAATAGACGATGATGATGAACGATAAAATGTCGTCGTATTTTATGCGTCTTTCAACCAACCGTAGGTGGATCGCTTTTTAACGCACACCGGCAACATGGCCATCAATCACACGCGTTCGTCGGACACGGACCCCAGGCTCCAGCGTGTGTTTTGTGTTGTAACCGTCGTCACTGCTCCATTTTGCCACTTGCTCTTTCTCAGGCGGGGTCTGGCGATTTTCAGTCGAGTGACACAATTAGCGAGACCGATAGATGACCAAACTTACGAAGCGAAAGAGACAGGCAGCGGGGCACACAGACAGCCAGACTAATACGCATCAGCCACCTCTGCTGCAATCGTAAATCACTGCAAGACGACTACAAACCCAATCATAGTTACGTAGTGACCAAAATGATCGCGGTAATTGTTACTAAGAGCAAAACATATCATACCCTCTTCTGATCGTGAAGAAAGTTCGCAAGAGGGGAGCCAAAACTTCGATACATGATAGATCATAAGTACTGTGCTGTGTATAAATAAGTCGTTTCTATGATGTATTTCAACGGCAAAACATTAAGACAAACCGATCGCTTTCATGCATCGTCTGAAGCGCACGGTACCAAATACAGTAACGCATGGAGAGATACAGTATACTCTGCTTTCCAAAATCGGTACAGTATCCGTGAAGGCCCAACCCAAAACGGTTAACCAATAGGGTATGGATAACACGGCAGACAATAACCTATCATTTTGAAAAGAAATCGCCTAGGCTAACTTTGCTCAACAGTGTATCGATGCTCTCGTAACTGCTGATGAGCAGAGCAACATAAATAATTTCTAAGGCTCACGTCCATACCGTATCAGAGATAAT